GGCTTGTCAGTGGTGGGACTGGCAAGGAAAGAAGTGGTAAGGGTCTCTTTGCCTCCCCGCCACCCACCAAGAGTGTGTCGTGTGATCATTTAAACAGCTCAGCGGCTTTGAGGCCAAAAGACTGTAACAGCGGTAAAAGGTTTGCACTCGTGTGCCAGTTTTCCAAATGATCACTCATATTTAAGTGTCTATTTGGAGCAGACAGAAGTGCTTCCTAAATCCACCTGTCCTCGTTTTTCTTTAAAGAGATGGCAGTGTGAATGAAAGACTTCCAAATATATTAAATCTTCTTAAACGTGTGTTGTGTTGAAAGCAGGGGTGGGTTGGGAACGGTGGAGAGAATATATTCGGGATGTGTATTTTAGTGTGCATGTGTTCGGGTGTGTGCTGGGGGGTAGATGTGAGGGATGCTGCTTCTTAAATTTTCTCTTTCTAAGAGGAAAGTGAGAAAACACAGAAAGAGGTCTGCGGAAGTATTTTTCTTGCCCGTCATGTGAAACCTAGAAAAAGTCAAGCCACAGGCTCACTGGTGGAGCATCTGCCTAGTGAGATAGTAGATTGATTAGCGGGTGTTTATAAGCCCGCTAATCAATGAATCAAATTCCCTGTTCTATTTATTTCTAAGCCTTCCATCCCCAAACCTGGGTCTTTAGCGAGGGCAAGTGAGCTTAGTCACTCTTACTGGGAGTTCGGACCCTGTCTACAGATACATGATGAGCCGCTGAGGGCCTATGAGGGATGCTTGGCTGACCACAGGGGTGAGGGAGCTACCTCATGGTTCTCGAGAAAGAGTAAGAATGCTCCATGCGGCCTTGGATTGTGACGGTGATCACGACCACCTTTCCTGCCGCAGTTGTGAAGAAACCAAAAAAGCGATAAAATCCAACTCAGATGCCCCTAAAGTCAGAAGTATCAGCCTGGATGGAGGTATCTGACACATTCTCTTAACTCACACACACACAAGACCATTCTCAGCCCCCCACCCCCTTCCCCAGGCTTTGGATCATTCTGCCCTTCTTAGCTGCACCATATCAAGTGGTCAGCCTACGTCATGGAGTCAAATTAGGGTGGTGTGTCTTTTGGCTCGTCAAATAGTGCAATTCGCCTTTGTGAGTTACACAGGTAGGTTGCCTTAGTTGGGTTCTTTGCAAAACCTGTACATGGGCCTCGGAAACTGACAGCAATCACTGCCTCCTTTCCTGCTACAGTTGCAAAGGCAACAAAAAAAGCAATAAAATCCAACTTGTATGCTCCTAAATACAGAAGTAGCAGGACGATTTAAAAACTGGGACGAAATCCCAAAAACCCCCTTTCCCTCCCCATAAAAAAAAAAAAAAAATTTGGAAGTTCATCAAAGTGAAGTGAAAATGAAGCATGGAAATATATACCGTAACACCTGGAAAGACAAATTTATTATTGCCAATCTCGTTAAATGTGAGAAGCAGGCATGAAATACACAGCCTGTACCTGAACGCCCCTCTCCTGCAAACCTTCACAAACTCACGTTCAGAAGCAACGCCCCATGCGATGCAACCGACTTCCTTGCCTTCAGCACAAACTAAAAGAGTAGTTCATGTGCCCCCCCTCCCCCGCCCCCCGGTGTCTTCTTCCACATCCCCTGGGATTTCTCAAGCTCTCACCACCCTAAGTCTGAATGTTGTGCCAAGAATCCTGGCAATTGTGTAAACTGATACAAAAGGCAGAACAAGCTCTCCTGTCACTCAGAAGGTCCTGACTCATAAAGGCCAGGAAATGTAGGGTCTAGAAGAGGAGAGAGATTTAGGCCACTCCCTCTTTCCTAGCGATAAACCTTCCCCGTCTGCTTTATTTTCCTGTGGGCCAGGGGTCAGCAACCACTCTAGCTTTGAGAGCCATCAGCAGCAGGGGCTGGAGGGGGATGGTGCTAAGCGGTGACAGAGGTGCCACCAGCAAGCTTATGACAGAGGCAGAGTTGGAGCAGAAAGCTGAAAAAAGACAAGAGTAGGAGAAGAGAAAGAAGGAAGAAGGAAGTCATGTCTAAGGAGGAAAAACATTAGCCTCATTTTCTCTCACACCCTCCCCCACCCTGCCTCTACCTGGCCCCACCCAAACTGAATTACTTGAAAACAGCATAAATTTTTAGGCCGACTGAAATTTTTCTTGCATTAATATTCCATATTATTATAACTATTCCTATTAAATAAGTTAATATTGGTAAAACACTTAGGAGAGTGCCCAGGACATAGTAAAGAGTCAATAAACGTTAGCTATTTTATAACTGCTACCAACGACTGAATGAGAAATTTAAAAATGCAACCAATAAGATGTTTTATTACGTGACCGGCTAATATTCTGTTGGGTTAACATATTCCTTTGAATTGACAGGATCTTTGGGCACCATGGTCCATCTGTTTAAAAATTTAAAAAGAAACGAGGTAGATAGTTCTCTACTTTGCCATCCTCTTCTCTTGCTCATATTAGCCTCCAGATTCATTTTACTTGACTTAAAGAGGAGAAACTTACATGCAAAAGTCACACAGTGCACAGCGTTATCAGCTGAGATATTCGGCTCGAGGTGCTGCTGGTCTACCTCTGGCCTGCAGCCATGGCCCACACTGGTAAAGTGACAATGATAAGACCAGTGGCTTTTTAAGCATCTTACTTAAGCACTGACCTCCACGCACACGAACACAGAAAAGAAGGGATCATCTTATCTGAAGCTTTTGTTAGTAAATGCGCCAAAACGGAGAGGCGAAATTAAAAACTATTTGGTGCTATTAGGATCACATGTGGCGGTGGGCGTGTGTGTGCGTTTGTACCTGTGAGCGTGTGATGGGGGGGCAGGGGAGCGGCCCAGGGCAAGACCCAGGCTCCTGATTCTTTGTTACCACATTTCCAGAAGGAGTCTAGTTTTTACTGAAGGAGGAAAAAGCCCCCAAAGAGACCAATAACTTGTCTGAAGTCACATGAGAAGTGACAAAATTGCTCCCTGGGCCCCATACTTCTTGCACTGAAGCAGTCTTAAAATAGACACGACAGATAAAAGCGAGGTGGCCTGGCTGGAAGTGGATATGATTCAGAAAGAGAGAAATATCAGATGTTAATCATATTAAAGCAGGATTTAGATGATGCTAAATGGAGCAGCTCGTCGGGTATCTCCTGATGCCAGCCGTCCCCTGTTTGTGTCCTTTTGGCCCTTGTGCTGTGAGTAGGGGATTAAATTCCTACCAGGTAAGGTTTAAACAACCCTCACAGTCTTAATGTGCACTGCCAGGATTTGTTCTCTCAAGTACATTACACAGCAGAAGTGTAGCACTCATCTTATACGAGGCTTGATGCAGCCGTGCAACGAATATTTGTCATAATAAACTACAGAGAGTTTGCCAGCGCACAAATTCTCTTAGCTGAAAGTTTAGAGCAACAGACTTATCAGAAAGGAGGAGGTTGAAATGAAGTTCTTAATAAGACTTCTTTAAATGTTTCTCTATAGTCATATTCTGCAGCTTTAGAAGAAATCTGCTAGAATGTTCCGTGAAAACAGTAAACCGGTGACTTTAAAAACAGACTTTAAAATTGCGAAGCAGTACAAGAAGGATCCCCACTTCTAACATGTTCAGCCAGAGAAAAACTTTGATTAGAACACATTTGACAAGCAATCTCCATTTGTCTTGGATAGCAAAGACAAACCGGTGGCTTGTAGTCTAACCTGCAAACTTTTGAGGCAAAACCGCGACTTCCCCACTGTTAACTTTCTACCTTCAGGTCTTTCCAAGCCACCATAATTGATCTGCGGTGCTAAGAACAGTGGGAGAAAGGGCCAAAAATAATGAACAAGCCAGCGGTGTGGGCAGCGGGGCTCAGGTCCTTTTATTGGCAAGGCCAGACCAAGATGCCCCTTTCTCCTTTGAAGTTGAGAACTTCCTGGGCATTTTTGGGTACTTAGCTGTGTGAGGTACCCAGCGAGAATATTTATATAAGGTCCCCGTACAAGCAGATGAGGGAGAAAAAATTCCTATCCTCCAGATAATATAAGCAAAGGACCAGCTTTATCGAGCTATGGCCTGTCTACTCTCACGGTCGGGGGTTCAGCCTACAGAACTGTCACAGTCCCACCTCCACCTATTGTCGCCTCGGCCAGCAGGGCTCAGCAAAACGCCTTTGTGAGTACTGGGAGATTCGCTGGTGTTGTCTCATAGTCATCATGTTGCAATGAAAAATGTTTGCTGAGGCACCACATTAGCCAGGAAAGAAATGCCTTACTCATAGCCGCGCATCTTTTACTGTTGTATAGATTTTGCTTCCCGGGAATTGTTTATAACGCTTCGTGTGTATCTAGAATCTGCGTGTTGTACATATCTAAGTGTGCATGAGAGCGTACGTACACAGAGCAACACGCTTGTGAAGCTGCACATGTGCAAAATAAACACCGGAGGTTCTCCTCCCAAAACAACAAACACAGAAACAAAAACAAAAACGAAATCTTGATGTATCTCTTATAATATGTACTTAGTAAATTCTCATACTACTTCTCCCACAAAGGAAATAAATGCTGATTAAAGACAGAAACCATGGAATCACTGCCCAATAACATTTCCGGACTTTCTTAGAAAATAACTTTTGCAAGATCCCATTGCACATAGCATATTTTCGGCTCAATCAACATGCCAGAACCTAAGTATGAAAAAAGGCCTCTTGGGGTGGGGACCCCCTTCTCTGGAAAGGAAACACTTGCTGCCATTTTCTTTGGACTCTCCAGTTCCCTTTTTCCGTGGCCAAATGGGTCTTGTGTGGAGGGAGCAGAGCCAGCCAGTGAGAAAGGAAATGAAAGCGGGTCAGGTCCCCAGGACTTTGATAGAAATCATGGGGGACGGGGGCTCCGCACTGACGCTCTACTTCTTACCCTGCTGGGGGATGTTTCTGTGAAATACCAATACAGAAACGGATTTGGGGCCATTTCTAAAGAACATACATTTAAGAAAAAGCAAAGGGAGAGGACCAGAAAAATAAAGATGAGTTCCTACCTCAAAGTCATTCGCTTTATTGTAGTGCATGTTCAGAGCCCTGTATAGCTCACAGTCTCTGGTTATGGACAGCTCTTCAGTACTGGTGACTCCATCGTTGATGGCTTGACGTGCGTACTTCTCCATCTGAATGTAGTAAAACTCACGGAAATTGCTAAACCACTTGATGAGCTGAGAGGTAATGCATCTGTTGAACTGTTAAATTTAAATATTGAAAAGGATAAGAACACTGCCATTTTCTTCATTTATTCTTTAAGCATTCAAAGCATTTTTAAAGTTCCCCTCCCTTCCTTGCTTGGAAAGGTATGTTTTTAATTCCACCGAAATGATGGCAAGAGAGCCGAGAGCAATGAATGATATACTCACAGGATATTATAAAACCTATCAACAAAGGAAACCACATCACAACCCCTCCACATTTGAGATGGAAAATTCACATCCTAAATCTTATTTTTCTTAAGCCGAATACCTTACTTTAAATGTTGCTCTTCATCTTTCAGTAAAACAAATTGCATTTGTATACTTCTTACGGAAACTCATTCAAGCCATAGAACCCTGGGAAGAGTTATTAATTTCAAGTACCGGAGATGATAAGCCAATGACTTCACCGCTACATGATATTTTCTTTTTAAATGAGAAATTGTGTCATCACGTGACAACCTCCTTCAATGCCGGAAAATGGCTTTCACACAAAGAGGGAGGAATTTGGCATCTGCTCGTTTTCTTGGTAATAGGTGATCTCGATGGCCATCCTGCCAGGATTCCGCTCAGTGTTCACACACGGTACTCACGTCCAGTGCTGTCTGATCAGACCACATACCTGTTCATACACTTCCTACAGCCAGCCTTGGAGAAGACCCCCTTCTGCTGGAGGCCACGCTGTCTGGGGGATGTGGTTAAGACACGGCACACGGACGGCAGAGACAGAATCTTTATTACATTTTTTTAAAACGCCAAGTTACCATAACAGGATTCGGCTTTAAAACTTCGTTTACCAAGGTTTCTCCATGAACTTTAGAATGGTACCATTCTTACTGATAGCCCTCCGTTCACATAAAGGACAGATGCATCTCAACTTGCCAAGTCAAAACCAATAAATCCATAGCTTTATATCAGGCGGGTTGACAGACAACTCCCCTGCCTTTTGTCATCACAGGCATTCCCTTCCCTGGTCCCCCAGAAAAAGATATACATTCATCAAAAATCAACAAAGACCACTTATCAAACACTGGCCATGAGAACATCCAGACTCCAGCAAGATGACAGCTAAAGTGTGTACTGGGGCTGTAATTACTACACAGAAAGTTGTTTCTATACTAGCAAAGATAATAAATGAATGAAAATTTATGGCAGAGAATGGAAGTCACAAGGAAACAGAAGCAGGGAGACTGCTGTTTCTCCCAAAAGGCCAACTTGCATCATAATTGCCATGGAGTTGCAAGGGCCCTTACAGATAATTGACCAGAAAATGATTAAGTCATCAGCAAATCGCTTCTGCTTGCAAGAGTTCAAACATGTACTTAACCTATCTAAGAATTATATTTTCACTCTGTGTGTCTGCTCTGTCTCTATTCAGCCTTGTGGGGAACCCGATTAAAAAGACAACTGAAGGACCCCCGTTATCTGATCTTCTGGTTGCCGATTTCAATAGAACTTAAACCCATTACAATTTGCTGAACTTGGAGTTCTTTCCATTTTATCTCAGCAGTAAAATACACTGTCCAAATTTCCAGACACTGAGATAAGGACGACAGGCCCCCGTGACGGCTTACTGTTCCTTTTTAATTCTTTTAGAATAAGAAACAAAACATTACAAAATGATAGCAGGCTGTGCACTGGGGAATGAAAATTGCTTTGACATGGAGATTAGGCTTCTGCATTGTTACAAGACATTGTCTCATATGGACAAGAGTACTGTAGAGGAAAAAAATAGAAAGGGTTTTTTTTTTTTTTTTTTTTCTAGAATGGTCATGAATGACCTAATGGGGAGGACAAAAAAGTAAGTGCACTTGCCATTATTTAGGAATGGGACATAAAGGGAGATTTAAAGCTTATTGTTAGAGAATGGAAATAACAGAGAGAAAAGCAGGGACAAAAACAACAGAGTCCCCAACGTGGGACAAGTGAAACGACAGGCACAGCAGCTTGAAGAACAGGATCTCCGTCCACTAAAATGAACTGGAATTTGTTCCGTTTTAGTGGCTGGCTGAGTGCAAAGGCAAGGCCCCCGCTCCCCTCCTCCAGATACTCACTTTGGGGGAGAAAAAGTGTTAAACTTTAAAGAATTCATTTCCCCCGTTCTGCAGTGGCTTACAAGGATCAATTGTTCTATAAAGGAAAGCTCTGTAGTGTGTTAATGTGTTACTGCAAAAACTAATCGCTACAATAAAGAGGCTGTGTTTCCACAGTGTACTAGTCTCTGTGACTTTGATTAATGCTTCCCACGGGACATCTCAGCCTCAATATGGGCTGAAGAAACTTCCTAAATATTCAATGAGCATGGTCAAAAGATGTATAAAACAAATCAATCTGACACCTTAATCTGGCTAGGCAGCAGTTGACTCAAGGGGTGGAGGGAATGAGATACATCATTTAACACTGCCGGCTTGAAAAGCTGTGAGCGTCTGTTCTTCAAAGCTAAAACGACACAGAATCTGTTGTACTTAGTGGTCTAAGAGTTATTAGTTTATACATTAAAATCAGCACCCCATCGTGTGCAGGACGACGGTGGGCCCTTCGGTGGTTGGCATCCCTCTCGCATTTGTCCCCTTACCCCTTCTCAAAGGATTTGAGGCCCGGATGAGGTGTGCTTTTTGTCTGGCTAAACTGTCGTGGTGGGAGAATTTAGTTGGACTCTGTGAGAACACAGAACTTTGTCTGGTTTCTCGTTCTAGGAGTTAATCTAAGGCAGCCCTGGTTTCGTCC